TTCCATACTTGATTACTAAACGCTTGTTGGCATTCGGATATGGCCATTCGTAAGCCGTCTATCTGAAAATTAGCCCCATACGCGGAGAAGTCAAGCTGCACATTGCTCTGGCAAAGACAAACTGTGCTTTCACCTCCGAAGACGGCTCTTGACATGCCTGGGATAAAGAGTGCGTAGCTGCAGTAAATGCCACTTTCCTCAGCTCAAAAAGCACGAAAACAGGGCTAGAGGGCAGTGATACCCAGCAGCCGTCTCGACTGCACGCCCAACATTGGCCAAATGCGTTACTTACCTGCGCTCCCTCACTTCTGGTTGCTCTCTGAGTCTGGTCACATGTTCGCTAGGGGACCTTCGTGTCGACGCAAGTGCTGCACCTTGAGAATAGCGTGTGTGGAGTCAAGAGACGGCACCCGGGGACCACCACTCCAGCCCTGTTCCCGTGCACTTGAGCGGAGGAAGGTTCGCGCTACCTTAGGTGTGGACCCACTCATGCACTTGGGAAAAACCAGGATTCACGGGGTGAGGGTACAGTTTGTCCTCAAAAATCCACCACCTACCAGAAATTTCATCGTGTCCGGATGGCGTATGCACATTTCCCGTTGTTTGTTGCTGAGACCTGGTACAACGGAACATGCTGATGGATACGACGTGATGCGTGATGGATCGGTTTCAGACAGAAGCCTAAAGAATTTTGAATTAAAACAAAAAGCTGCCGATGATTTGATCCTGGCACTATTCCAATGAAGTGAGACATTTTGGTCAGAGAGCATCCAAGACATTTTAAATTGCTATGAACTATTGTACTACCCTTATCACAAGCAAAACAAGTGGAATGGCGAGGGACAGGGACACAACTGCGAGCAGGGGTGATGCAGGTTTCTTCATGCGTTTGGGTAGAGTAGGAATTCCAGCAACTCACAAATCTCTATTGCATTCTGATGCAGACCTACAGACAGGCCAAACAAGCGTCGAGGACATTCTAAAGGGGTCCGTATTGAAGTTGTAGCAAAGGAGGTTGTATTTAATTTGATGAGAGGAGTCTGGAGCGTCGAAAAAAGTGGAAGTCAAAGGAGGCATTCTTGGTAAACTTGTCCCTTCATGAAACTTCTGCACGATGCATTGTTTCGAATTTTGATCTTCTTTACTGGTGTGTTAGTGTCATGAGACTGTCAGGAAGAATCCTTTATTGATAGTCTGATTTAACAACCAGACATCGTCCTATAGATCTAAATATGGCTCAAGAGGGCCTACGATCCTGCACGCCGGCGATCCCTCCCTAGCGCTTTTTGATGAAACATCAGGCGGACACTCAAATGGTGAAGTGGCAAGTGACCCGCTCACCACGCATGTGTTCCGGGGAAGGAAGACCCGGAGCAACTCCCGCCAAGACCAACCAAGCCTTCCAGCTTCCAAGACCATTAAAGTTGGCGCCAGACTCCTCAGGAAGGACAGACGCTGCGACGACGGAAATGCTGACTTGTACATCGGTTGGCTAATTCAATTAATTTTATAAGCCAAGCCGCATTCAAAGGCCATTGAGATTCTGAATAGAAGCAGAATGCGTGGGGTATTCTGAAAAGAGACTGATCAAAGGCGAGAGCTTAATTTTTTCTCTTTACATCCGAACATCAACCTCAAACTCTAATAAGAGAAAGAAACCTAGTTGACCACCGCACAGCAAAACGACGCCACCTCAGTTTTTACCAGTGAGCCACTTTCTTCAGCGTAAAAGAATCGAACGTAAGGGTCATATGGAAAATTGGTCTTTGCACGATCTCCTCTCCTTAGCAGGCTTCCCAGCATGAGCCCTTTCAACTTGAAGGCCAGACTTCAGCCAATTAGTCTCAACACCAGAGAAAACCATTTACTCTCTGGTGGGAGTACTGCTCCAGGAAACGCAAACTATCCAGCACTTCTCGAAACTCCCAAAACTTAAATTAGTCCCCTTCCCATAAGCCAGATGCGCCCTCTTTTCTAGTGACTCAAACACCTCCATTAGAGACTCCTTGAACATCGTGTCATAATTACAGGGGATCCAAGCCAGTGGGAAAGTGAGTGAAAAAAGGTGGAACTCCAGTTCTTTTTGGCTAATTCAAGTTTGATATTTCTTAGAAAACCTTCTTTGGAATGCCAAGTACGAGATTCGCAAGATCCATTTACGATCCTCCCGTACCACATAACGACTATAAGAACTATCCCCACTTTCGCCAAGCAAGCAGTACCATCGCTAATCAGCCATTTCACCACGAGCAACCAATAAACGAATATGCATATGAATCAAGCGCATACAGGCTAGCCAACAACGCAACAATCCGCCTGCATCCGATTGGTGTATGTCGTAAATCGGTCATAAAGTGCGTACGGGGTCATGCCGCTGAGTCTTTGCCGAAAATGCCGCTCCCACCAACAGCTTGCGCAGTAGCACATAAAACGATCGCACAGCACGCGCCATCTTCGTCCCAAAACACCTTTCTTCGCCCCGTGATGCCGACATGTACGAGAAAGCTGCTCAGGTGGACAAATCAGCCGACAGGCGCCACGCTCAAACTACCTCGTGCCGGATTGAAACGACATCGTAAACCGGCTCGGAAGCATCTTACTGCCAGTTACAGTAGACAGACCTCACGGCTGGTTTCTTAACGCAATACCTGTGGACAGAACGCTGCGGGCGAAACAAGTCGTGAGTGACGCCGTGTCTCTGGATACTCTAGATGTTGTTTCCGACATCACTCGTCAATTTGGTCCTTACCGCTTTTCAAGCGCTCGCTATCGAATCAGTACAGGGACAACAAGCCCATGGGACCGTTTACTGGTAATACTGGTAATCGGTCGACCTAAACCTCCGACACAAGTAAAAAGTAACTTTCGCATCGCGCACTGCGGGGTTAAACAGCAGTTATCAACCAACAACAGCCTAAGAAAAAGTAGATTTCTATAGGAAATCAATGAAGGCAACATTTCGTTGCCCAAAACGGCCCTGTTAAAAAGGCGGCACGTCTGTAGGAAAGAGCATCCCTATAAAAACGGCGGTTTATCAAATCTTTGCCTTAAGCAAATATAACCGGCCATAAAGACTTGCTCGGTGACAAGAATGCTAATGAGAACTCAATACATGCAAAGAAGGAAGAATGGCTTGATGGGGCATGTTGCTGGTACCCAACGATTACTGTCGATGCTCCCTGCGGAGAACTGTAAATTCCTGCAAAGCTATGCAATAGCAGGAGTTCTGTTCACAGTTGCTAAGATATATAATGTTATCTAGGTGAGAGTAGGATTCAACAGGAACAAGCAAAAGAGACCATCAGAAGTGCAGAATGCCCACCCGTCCCCGTCTATCAAAGCCGAACAGCGGCGAAAGAAGATATACAGGTAGACCAAAAGAATAATACCAAGCTGATTCCAAACCTCTCCTTTCACCCTCGAACTAGCTCTGGCTCCAAAATGCTTTGTTCCTGCGCTTCCGGAGAAGAGAAAGTGAGCAACTTTGCGATACTAAAGCTTGGCTGGTTTAGCGATGAGGAGGGGGAGGGGGTCAGGTAAGTGAACGTAAGAGGGAGGATGAAGCTGGTCCCCTCGATTGGGGAAGGGGGGGGGTCTACAGAGGCGCCAGTACAGTAGGTCCCATCAATCGATCAATGTCCCCTAGCTCTAGTTCAGTCACTCTCAATACTTGCCACACCATGATCAGTTCCGCCGGATATGGTAATCGTGATCAAAATCTGGTTCCATCTCCTCTAGACAACAGAAAACCAGACCCTACTTGCAAGCCTTTTTCAATCCATGGTCGAGCTAGTTTAACTTGACTGAACTTCACCAGTTACAAAGTGGATGTCATATATTGAAACGGCCCCATCAAACACCTCTGTTTGACCCCCCCCCCCTCTTACCAGCCATACAGCAACGTCACAGTGGAATTCAGAGTGACGCTATCCCCTCAAAGATTTTATGGAGCTCAAACTCTTCGGAATTTTCTGATCTACACTCCCACGATAAACGGCACCATGACGCCCTCATCCCAGGCCTCTCACTAATTAGAAGAGGTAACTATTGCGAATAGCGGCAGCCACCTTCCCAAACTGCTCCAAGCACACAAAGGCGGGGATCCTCTGCAAGAGGGATCACATTTGTTCGCTGGAGGGGGTCGTAGTTGCCAACGCGAAAAATCTTTTCGGTTGCTGATTTTACTCGGGTCTTGCCCCCTTTCACGTGTGCTATACCCTTTCCAACAGTTTTGTGAAGGAAAACTCCCGAAACTTAGGAAAATGAACGAAATGGATGACGGTAGGAAGGTGAATGGCAAAGGGGGTCTAATAGGACAGGAGAGCGTGTTTTGCAAATTGCAATTTTTTTTAAACAGCAGGAGCCCTGCGTGGAGGATATACAGAGAGGAGTAGTGCCACAATTATGTGAATTGTGGGTATCGTCCTTCACCAACGCAGTTCCTTCACACATAGCTCCCATAAGCCATTAACATTACGTCATTATACGAGGCGCATGGCGCAGTTAGATGCGTCACATAGAACAGATTGTATATGGAAAAAGATCGTCAGCCTTGTTCCGTGGAATTCGGGGAGATATCCTCCTTATTACGTTCGGGAAACCAGGTTATGACTGGAAACAGACTACTGAATTATGTTCCTCTATAAGTCTTTCTATGAGGACTCTGAAGTAAGCCACAGATATCCGTGTTCCTTAAGGAGCTATGCGATTTTCAAGTAAAAGTAGCATTTTCTTTATGTTCCCTCCTAACCAGACGTAGACACATGGGCAGTGGAAGATGTTCAAGTTTTTTTTTTGAGACGGGAAACAATGCATGTGAAAGGAGCGCAGCTGGTACGAGCCGTAATCGAACAATGGTAACAACGATCCGCATAAAATCGAAGACGTACCGCCTGCCCTTTAAGAACGAGAAGGAAAAACGAACCCCTATAATGAAGAAGTCACCCTATCAGTCTGGACAGTATAAAGTGGCTACCACACCAACTAAATGCAATTTCACTGCGACTGAAAAACTCACCACCATGAATTCGCGTAGGTAACGATTAAAGTCGATACTATTAGTAGTGACCGTATCATAATAGAGCGAGCGTGAGCAGAAGGACAGTTTCCGCGACGGGTAGTACCTCACGCGGAATGGGCGGGGCTGTGAGGGCGGGGCGCTACCGTAGCTAACGAGGGACATGGTGAGGTTTTCGCGAGTGGTAACACAATGGTCAACAGAACGGGGGATGTTAAAGCTTCTCACTCACCTCATTACTCTTCGTGATTCTTTCCCGAAAAGTGGAAGGCGGACGTGGACGGCTGAGTATGGATTATTTCCATTCCGAACCTGACAGTAAGAGATCTAAAGATAAATAAGTGGTCAAACTCTCAAAATTCTGAACCAATCAATAAAACCAGAGACTGCTGTATGTAAATACTCATGCCCTCCTTAGCGTTGTCATGTACAGGTTATTATAGCGAACCTAATGCAAGCACAGAAAGGGAACGCACTCTGAAAACCCTCAGACCGCTGCAAACCCTAGAAGTGGGAGGGGTTGCAATCCATAAAATCCATTCAAACGAGAACTGATCTACCGCATGAGCTCAAGTCGTACGTTGAAGATCTCCGGCGTGTGCAGTCGTATTTGGTCTTTGAAGGAAGGGGGAAGGGTTCGTCGCCTCTGACAATGAAATGTTTTCGGTTGCTCACTTTTCTTGGTTTCCTTTTTCAAGTGCGCTTCATATACCCTACCCGTCCCGCTCGACTTTACTTTTTTTGAGGGGAAAAGTGGGAGTTTTTGGAGAGAAACCCACTTTCCCCCGAAAAAAGGTTTCTGGAACCCCGGAAAAATAGTAGGAAACTGAGAAAGCATGTGATGGTGGTAGGATGAGTTTGAGTCAGAGAAGGGAATTTTGAGAAGGGAGATAGTATTTTGCAAAAAATTTTCCACAACAGCAGGACGTGCTTTCTGAAGAACAAATCGCGAGCCTAATAGAACACGAGCTCACTAAGTGAAGGCGATGGATGACCCAGTGTTAGCCAGACTTTTCAACCATTTCTGAACAGAGACGGTCCACGATCCTCAAATAGCTAGCAGTTCCAAAGCGACAATCCAGTTTCGAAGATTGATGAGAACCCTGCCCTGACCAGCTTGAGCATCACAGCTGTCAATGACGACCACAATCCTTCACCATCCTCTTGAACAATCCTTTATTCCTAATCCTCGAAAATGAGATTCCAAATTGCATGGTGTTTATCTATTATTTATTTGTGCCTGTGTTCAGGTATACATCAACCAAGCTTAACGCCAACTAGATCGTCGTCCCAGTGCGTATCTGCTATTGTGCTCCGAATGAGGAGGGAGGGGTCCCAGGCAGGGCAAATTCAACTATTGCGCAAAATTTTGCAAAATACGACGCCCTCGGAATGTCCTACGGTAGACTCCATTTCCTTCCCTAGTTTTCCTAACTTCCTGCCACCTTTACAGTTCTTCATTCCCATATCGTTGAGCGAGGAGGAGGGGGGGGGGGCGCAATCGTTCAGATAAGAATAACAGTGATTTTACAATGGGTCTGCGGCGTAGTCATGCGGGTAAAAAACGCAAAAAGATTGCAACCCAGCGACTAATAATCACCCCCTCGCTGGAACGTACGGAGTAGCACGCTCTCATCGCTCTACCATCTGTAGGCATACATGAATTGAATGAGAAGCCAAGGACTGGGAAATCTGCGGAATCGCTCCACCGATTACCCCTTATTGTATGCGGCCCTATGAAGCGCAAAAGATCGCTTGAAGGAGATTCTCCCGGATCAAAAAAAATTTGTGAGAGGTTCCACCGCGCTATAAATTACTCGCAATTCAAATAGAAGTAAAACGATAGTCGAAGGGAACGGGATAATTACCATGAATGACTATACGACAGCTACAATACATCGAAAACCTTTATCACAATAAAATACAAGGCATCTGAGAAGTTTGGTGGAAGAATAACAACTTACATAACAGCAGACAAATCATTCAACCAGTCAACAAGGACGGTGACCGGTAAGTTAACCGAAATACGTTCGTACGAAGCGACTAAAGAGATTCGGCCATTGGAAAAATCACGCGCCGAGGAAAGAATAGGTATCGATCTGGTGACTGAGGGAATCCAGCGACCTGGCGCCGAAACCATCACCATTGGACGCGCAATCACCCAAAACACCGGATTGCCACTCCCCAATCGCCACACCGGTATCTGTACTTTCCGCGTCTCGCGATATCTCGAGGCCGAGCCTGCCAAATCACCGGATTTGTCGCAAACTATGAACGCTGCCTAATGAACATAGACGTAACTACAAGCAGATTCATCGGAGATCATCAGATTATAAGGGCCCGTTTCATCTACTACTGATATCGTTGACGGCATTAAAGCAAAATTATATGAGAATTAACAGTAAGTTGCTCGAAACGGTTAATACTCTGATATGGATATAGAATCAATAATCTGAAGCAGTATGAAGAATGGCACAGGTTATTCGGAGCAGAACAAAGGCACAATGAGCCTGCCCACCATGAAAATGCAACTGAAGCCGCCCATAACCTGAGTTCTACTCGCTTGAAAGAAATGTAGTAAAGGCAGTAATCATAACTCATCATAATTCATGATGCGGTAAAATAATTTGGCGTTCATCGTGGTCTCCCGGATGACTTCATTCACATCCAAATTCTTGGCCTTCGCAATCACAAACGCGACGTTCACCGCTGAAATGACTGCTCATGATACGAACGGCGCAGTTCGGCTTGGAGGGGGTATCTGGGAAGCCACCTTGTGGAGACCTGTGGAAACCTGTAGCTGTAGTTATAGCTGAACTGGCACACTGGTACCACATCGCAGTATCACAAGAGTTCACAGCCTCCCTCCTTCCTGCTCTTCCTCCATTCCTTCTCTCCCCTCCCTCATCCTTTCCTTCTTCCTCCAAATGCTCAATCAATAGATGCGATAGGAAAATCCCACTGGACTCTCCCAGACAACAGAAGCTCTGCCGTCCATTTCTGTTAACCTGCCTGTTCAGGGGCCGACTTAAAAGTCGTGACTATTGCAACAGAAGAGAAGGATGTTGCGAAGTCCGTTCTCGCATCTTCCTGATCTCTGCAGGACCTCTCACTCAGCATTCTAATGCCTCCACTTCCCCCACCGTTTACAGCATCTACGCAATACTCTAACTACGTATCCACGGCAGCGCAGTTCGGCTTTGTGGGGGCATTTTGCTGGTTGTCATCGATAACTTCCGCAGCTCCTTGTGGAAATTTGTTAATTCCTGCAGTGCTGCACAGTAGCATAAGCTCCGTTCACAGCTGGCAAGAGTCCACACGTCCTACAAAGTTGGGACGTGCAATTCAACACGAACTAAAAACGAATCAAGCCGAAGTGCAAAATGCCTCTCCCAAGCTGATTTCTTCGTGATAATGAATCGCAATAACACGCATTAAATTCAATTATTACACTACTCACCCATTGGCGGGAACGATATTTTATCATAATGACAAAGATTCTTGCCACCTTTGACGCAGTCATACTGAAATACATTTTGTAGAATCATTTTGAAAATTCCAGTCGATGAAAACTGGTCACAAATGCAATTTTCTCTTTCCCCAAGTACTGAAACTGTAAACTGGTGTGTCGCATAGCCACATTCCCTCTGGCAAATAAGGTCAGTGCTAGGTGAACTATGCTCTAACCTCGTGTCTTGCCTCGCCTCGTGCCATGCCCTTTTTCGTCCAAGGGCAGTACAGTCCCGTTGATATATCCGCAGGTTCTGGGCAGACTTCGTGCCCTGTCGACAAAATGCCATGCAACTGGGGACATAAAACGATTACTAAGACAAACCTGGTTGGGCCTGAAGTATGGAGCATCCGTTTCCAACAGAATTTTTCGTAGAGGAAGTCGTTTCAAAACTTCATACTTCTCTTTTTCATTTTGTTCCCAGGATGATATTATTGATGTGAAACCTGAATATGATTACTGAAAGGGGTGGTTACCCTGCAGTTTGACTTGACCAATGAATTATACGTCACGAAATGGCTGGATTGGGAAGGGGAGAGAATGATATGACCCCCGTACCACCCCCCCCCCTTTCCCTACACCTTAATCCCATCTATGATCTTCCTAAATTTTTCCCACTTTCGACCATTTTTACAGATTCCTTTATTCCAAAACATCCTCCTGGTTTCCACAAAATCCGCCGTCGTGTGGGGGAGGGGGTCGATGGGTTTACCGGAACCATTGCTCTAAAAACAAACACGGTCCTTTACCCTCCAGCGACCAAATGTGACCCCGTCACTGGGGATCCCCAGCTTACGACATGTGCTGATTCAGCATCGGAAGCAATCTGTCACACCAGCACCTGACTCATCTAGGGGAGTAAGAATTTCTCCGTTATATTTGCTTTTCTTATTTCCTTAGTTTTACCGGCTGTTCGCGCAAGTCGCTATATAGGAAATATCTCACTCAAAAGCCACCACCATACTGAAGGGAAGTGAAATTAGTGCATCCCACTTCGGAAAGGGATTGCTAAACAACGAAAACATCACTCTTTCTCCAGAAATTCGGGGACGAAGAAAAAAAAAACAAAAACGTACCAAAACACATATTAGGGTATTTCCTCAACCATCTGCACGCCACATCCCAATTTTCAGTGAAACAGTGACGATGGATATTATGAAAACCGGATATTCCCTGAAATAGTTATAGACAAACATTACAACCTTACACAGGATAGGGTATGTGACAGAACAACCAATTCGCCGCGCTGGTGGGCGTCGCGTGCGACGTCGCGCCCGTGTGACGACAACAGAAAATGTATAAACAAAACAGCTACAATCAGGTGCTCTAGTCGACAGGCCAGTACGAATCGAGAAAACGCCGCGCCCATCGTCGCGCGCACTGAGCGGCAATTCACGATTGTCTTGACCTTCTCTCCACAGGATGTGGCAGGAACAAATAGAAGTGAGAAAGATTGTGAGTAGAGCTATTCTCAAGATTTTCGAAAGGAAAATTGAGTGCAACCGCGGCGCTGCATGCAAAAAAAAGAGGGAATGAGGAGTTATGAAGGAGTGAGCAGACGGAAGAATTACCAATCCAAAGCACAAGGGAGGTATTGTTAACACTCCGGCAACAACTATATTAACAAGTTAACAACCAAACCGTTTTCTCCAACACTTCCAAGCAAGACTCTTCTGCATCGAAAGTCCCTCTGGGTCCGGATCGACAATGAATAACGATGGGAAGATCGAAATGTTTCGCAAGATCCAGCTGAGTGGAAAACACTTCCTTCTGCACTTCAGGATCCCCATCGCTTCTAGAATGAGCATTTTCCTTTAGGGAAGTACACTGGAACAAGGGCAGCGTGTGAAAAGGGAATTGACAAAAGGTGTCATATGACTTCATTAAAAACAAGCTCCGTGATGAACGATAGGCGGGGACTGGCCATCGTTCTACCTTTCTCATTGGTTCGCTTCTCCTCTTTATCGTATGAGACGGGGCGAGCCTGGTGAGGAAGGCTCATTGTCAGTCTCTGCCCATTCAATACGAAGCCGCAAACCGAATAGAAATCGCATTTTCAAACACATTAAGAGACCACACTACTTATTTCAATGACAAATCATTTGAATGTGACATTTTAAAAAGCAATTTGAAGACTCACTTCATGTAGTCGATTCCACATTCTCCAACTGCCACAATTTTGTGTTTTTCTCGCTCTTTGAACAATTGTGTGAGAGTCTCCTTGATCTTAAAGTGATTCCTCAGAGCAAGAAGGATTAAATGACGACAGCCCAGTGAAGTTCGGTACAGTCAATATAGTTCTTCAAAATTAGCTGGTGGTATCACATCATGGCTTCAGAAGATTTCTTACTTTTACTTGATGGCTCGACACCACAATGAACGAGAATTGCAAGCAAATATCGCTGCTATAAAAAGTTGAAACATCGCCAAGCAGCTGGAGCCAGATTCACCTCCACTTGAATGGAGCAAGTTTCCGATGTCACCAAAGTACAGTCCTGCTCGCTACGCCGCGCAAAACCAGCCTTCCTGAAACGCCTCTCCCGAACAGTACTGTAGCTTGTGTGCTCCACGCTCACGACTCCCACTCACAGAAGCAACAAAATCTCTAATTAGGAAATGTGTGGCGGTTGTGTAAAGACAGATAGCGCCTCCTCCACACATACATGGCACGTTGCTCAAACCTCCTCACAACGTCCGAGTTTTAATGCCCTTGATAAATATTCAAACATAAAAGGAAAGGAGCGGAAAAATTATCACTTGATCCTGTCTTGTTTGTTCCTCGAACCTGACTTGGCAAGGCAGAGTGAGATATCTGCCCATTTTCCCTTTTGATCATCTATCCCGGGTGTTGAAGCGACTCGGATGTACTGGGTCGGATCTCGTCCAAGATGACTAGTCATTCCATTCAGTAACCGATGATATACCCTGAGTCAGGACGCGACCAGACTGGTGTTGGTGAGCTTTCTTCGTCTGTCATCGCCACACCATACGAACCAGTGCTACACGGTGCTCATCGGCACCCTCACAGCGAGACAGTTCGAGAGCCAGTGAAGCCAATGGGATTTTACATGAGAACTCTATCGCTCAGCACGACCTGTATTGCGGAAAATTTTTGCAAAATACGACCCCCCCCCCGAAATTCTCGAAATTTCCTCTCCCGGTACGCACCTCCCCCTTCCCTATCCTAACCACCATCTTCCTGGTTTCTCAGAATTTCCTCCACTTTTACAAAGAACAGCGATCGAGCGAGGGGAGTGGGACGGATAACGCATTCGAAGCAGAAGAAACCAAGTAAAGACAATCTGACAAGGGGGAAATTTGATCCAATAAGGAGGAAATTTGATTTAATAAGGAGGAAATTTGATTTAGTAACACTCTTCAAGATCTTTCATGGTTACTCGGGTATTAGGCCTAGCGCCTTGATGGAAATTCATGAAACTACTACTAGGGGCTCGGTAAGGAAAATTACCATCCCGCGAGCTAGACGTAACGTTAGACACCATTTCTTCCTCAATCGAACCTGCCAAGAGTTTCATAGGATACTCTCCTTGGGAAGGTCATCCAATAAACTTACTTCCTTTAAAGCCACTCTGGAAAAGTATCTCGCATCCTGATGTCACATTTACTCCGTTTGATGGGCTCCAAATTTGTTTGCTTCACTTCTGTTGTGCTGCTTCACTTCCTGCTGTGTTGCTTCAAATTGTACTCTGTTTTTCTACTAGCTGTATTTTTTTTCTACTCTGTTGTGCCACACGGTTTCCCGTGTAATAAACATAAACATAAACATAACAATCGAAATTATTTCCCTTTCAAGGCAATTAAGAGCCTCCATCTCTCGAAGGACCAAATACGGCCCCGTCGTTGAGGATCTCCAACGAACGCCGTGCCCTGCTATCGCTCTTTCATAAGGCGCTCGAACAGCGAGCGAGGCGACAGAGCCACCAAACAGTCATGAGTTCCTCCTCCTTACTAAGTACTTTCGAGTGACAAAGTGAAAATTATCCGCCTTGCTAGTAATTGAGGGTTCCCAAGCATTGTAAAAGCTACTGTAAGGGTTTGGTGCTTTCCATCTTTCTAAAAAACATACGAGAAACTTACTGTGTCCTTGTACTGAACAGCGTAATGAGGATGGCAGCCGTAAGTGGTCCCCAGAACTAACGGGTTCTAAATCAGACACAGTGTCAATTAAATCCGACATTTCCATATTACTGTCAAATGAACATTCCAAACCTGTACTTGCTCTTCTATCCAGGCAGGATCGTATCCTGGCTCTACCAGGGGTAAAGACGTCTGGATCAATGAAATTAGGTATACAACCTGAACACCATATGCTATGAGGTGGGATTACGACATGGGAATCCAAACAAAGTGAAAACACTAGAAAATGAATGATGACTTATGAATACGATCAAGAAGAATTTACTTGAAAAGTAGTTATGCCATATTCGATAGGAACTTTTCCATTTTTCGATGTTTCCTTTACATTTATTGAAGATAAAATCGAAATGACAATGCGAGTCAACATACGGCTCCAAGTACGTCGTTTCGAATCTGGATAAGGCCAGACATGATAGTTATGGTGTGCACTTGCAAATACGAACCAAAGAAACAAAACAATCAGCGAATAATGCAAATTCCCGGTGTTCTTCTCACCATGTCGCCGGAATCTCTGAAACGTGCCGACATTTCACAGGTGCGTGATGCTGTTTCGCTCATGCGGAAAAAGCTGGCGTATGCTGACACATGATAGATCGATATCCATACTTTCCCAGCCGCTCAAAACGCTGCTGTACGCTTGCATGCGCCGTCGCAAAATATGAACACAGCCTGGCCTCCAATTATTCAGCGTCCAAAGCGAGAAAGTTAGTTCGTCGGAAATTTATTTTTTCCCAAAATTCACTTCGACCAAAACGATTCTTGACAAAATATTCTCCAAGTTTTCACTGCATCTATCCTTCGACAAAAAAAATCGTACAATAACTTTTCAACATTCTACAGAACAAATCCGATCACATTCGCCAAATAAGGCATTGTTCACAGTCTGCGACCCTGACGAAACGGCGGTTGGGAGAAAAGCAAAAAATAGTCATCGATCGGAGAATCGCCAACCGCTAGTTTCGCCGAACCGCCGCGGTTCGCGGTTGGGCGAAAAGCAATAGATGCGTATCGATTTCGCTGGCGAAAAACGCCAGGGCGATCGAGCTAGCGTTTCGCGAAGGCGAAAAACGCCGCGGTTTGGCGAAACGCCCGTCGATTCGTATCAAAACCCTTTCGCCCAACCGCCGGACTCTTCGCCCAACCGCCAGTCGATACGTATCGAAAGCTTTTCGCCGAAGCGTTCCTTTTGAGAGAAACGCAGGTGCGCAGACTGTGAACAATGCCTAAGAAAGGAACTATCGAAACAACCGCTAACTCACATTATCAAATGTATGATCCCACCATCTACTAACAGCAACGCGACCATTTACACGCTGAAAGAAATGATTACAGCAACTATCACAAGAACGTATGCGTTCAGTGTGAGCAGTCGTGTGCACACGGCTACTGTCTCCTTTGTGACGGCTGCCCGGTGAGCGCAAAGTCCAGGTTCGAGTCCTGGCCGCTACCAAGCATTAAATATTCTTGAAAACTTTCGCATCGCGAAAAGTGGTAGCATATAAAAATAACATAGCAAAGCAATCAATACCACAATATACAATGCACTTAAAATGAGTGCATCTCACGGGATCAGTATAAAAGTCATGTACATCGCAAACAATGGTAGTAGAAAGAAACAGTAACGATTTATAGAATCCTTGGCACCATTCAACTATTACTAGCCCAATCTGCCGAAATCAGGCCAGTTTTTTTTACCGACTTTGTTCGACGAGAGCAGATTTTGCTGAGAATTTGTTTTCAAGGATAGTTCGACCTCTCAAATCGTATATCACATGCGCTTGGACCCAAAGCCCTGCCATTCGCGCCAGAACGCCAGCGCAAGGTACCCTCGACCATGGAAATTGATGGCACTTCAGTACAGGGCCACTTGACATCGCGATTACTAATATGACATTCGTACTTCGCGTCGGCGATAATAGCAAACACTATCATCATCTGTACTCTGCAAAGGCTGAGCCTGGCCTGAAGAGAATCTCCTCTACCAAGTTCAGCCTTAGCAGAACGGAAAATGGCGCTGGTGTCGAGAAATGAATACAATATTCGTGATCAGAACATCAAACAACCCAATTATGCACGTTTTTATCGACTTTGGGAAAAAGGTTGTGCGCCTTGGGGCTAGAAAATACAATTAATGTCATACTCGTAACCGGGGCAACGAATAGTCCCAGCATGCAAGTGTGCACCTATTTTAGTAAGATTAGCGTTGGCCTCAAATTGGCGCCCAAAAGAGCCAAATCGCGTCAGCGTCAAAAATGAATGTTACTCTAGTGATCAGGGCTTGAATAAACCGCATAGGCAAAGTTTCAGCAGAATATTTTTTCTCGACATTTCTGAGATAGCGATAATTGAGTTTACCGAAAACTTTAAAAACCTACTACTTTAGGTTGAATTTCGCCGCACACATCATCGGGGAGTTCAGCACTTCCTGTGTTACTCTGCAAAACATTGATGAAGCATCGTTTAGTTTTACATAAACAGTACGAAGGTGAATAACACCGGGAGATCTTTCAAAGCTTCAAGATTGCGCTCAGTGCTTGCGATCGCGCGACTGTCGCGCGATCGCGAAGTCTGAAGGCGGTATAAGGACTTGGTGAAAAACCTCTCAACAGAACCTCTATATCTTTTCCCATAATCAAGTCTCAAGGTAGGGGTGGTAACTGTCTTCCCTGTGGATACCCCCTAGTGTCTCAGGTCCTTACCAACTTCATATGCGAAACTAAAGTACGGTAGTGGACATAAGAATTTTCGCTTAATTACTCGCGAAGAAGTTTTGCGGCAGAAGAACCAATTCCAAGGTAATTTTATTCGGAAGATGTCGCATTCTTGCACAGCGATTCCTTCAACTCACCTCCAAGTAATTAGCTCTTGTTTTTTTTACAACCTTTAAGGAATGGACGCGATCTTACAGTGATCCACAAAACGTGGAAGAGAAGAGAACAGCTTGCGGAATTTCACACTTCCTTTGAGGTAGGTAAGAAGAGCGCAGATGGCTGGAGTTGCCGCCTCCTTGTCTAATAGAGCAGGCACAGCCGCGCTGCTACATGACTCCCCCTTCCCATCCAGCATCAGCCAGCGTTATTCCTCACTTTTTAGACGTCAAAGGCATGCCCCGCGTTCCCTTGATGTTCAGAGGCCTCCTTTCGAAATGCTAGTCAAGAGTAGGGCATGGAGGATGTACTAGTTCCGCAGTCGAAAATAGGTGAGGAAAGCGCGACCCGCTCAGGATGAAGCCACGGCCCCGCCTATGGGCCACGGCAACGCCTTTTGTTTTTTCTGCTACCCGATGAGGCTGTTGTTCCGCCACTAGCTATCCCTACTTCAAATGGAGAGAGTGAGGTGACAGAGGAGAACAACAAGTGAGAACTGGTCCGACCACTCCCTTCCTTCGCCTTATGGACTTACAAATGCGGTTCGGCATGGGCTCCATATGAGCATTTCGGGCTGATTCTTTCTGATTTTCTTCTTTTTTTTGGTTTTTCTTTGCCTTTTGGCCATCTTGTTATTACTATTTGAGCCGCATAACAGACTATTTTTGAACGCGGGGCGTGCGTTTAGACGTGAAAAGGTGCATGAGAGCAGATAACAAGAAAAAAAAGCCTTGAACAGCTCACATCATCGTCATTCTTCATAGCTTCGGTGGCTAGATCATCATCGTTCGATACCTGAAATACATTTACAAGAAATGGCAATTCAAAAAAATGTACAAAAAATTTCAAGTATTAGAAAGAACAAATATGGGCGTTTACCAGAGGTACCGCGGCCTAGCAGCGCCATCTTCCCCTCACACTCTAACTAGCACCCAAATTCGTTTTCTCGAGTCACAGAAAGTTGTAGACCATGATCGCTACTGATTTTTAATTTTTTTTAGACTGGGAAAAGGGAGAGTGGGATGAGAAAAAAAAGACAGCCGCCGCGCTCGAGTAGTACATGGTCGTCCTTCCTTGTGCAAGTAGTACAGCCCCAAGCTAGAGACTGTCCCACTCTCGACTCCACAGCGAGCGAGAAGCGAGCTACAGCTGCTGAAAGTTCTAGTTCTAACGCCCGCCCAGTTGGACCGCCCACTTGCTAGATGCCCTCTGACGGAGGGCCGCTCAGTTGTTCTTTGTTGGGGCGGCGGGCATTAATCGGAATTGCATGTCCTTTTTGCTGACCGCGCTCGTGCCCATGAATGATTCTGCTCTCCTTTCATTACATTTTATTTATAAAGCACATACAGTCAACTCCAACCCATCTTGCAAGGTAAAACGCGTAAAAATCACGAGCGACCCAATTTTCGTGGTGCAAAAGCTCGACGCACCACACTACACTAAAAGATGCACGCTACCGTAACCCTAAATTCAGACGCCGAGTTTTTGAAAGTTTCTTTTCCTTTTCAAGAGTTTTTCTTCCGTGTTTTTGTTGTTTTTCGTATTCTTTTCATTGCATTGGATGATACCCACTACTGGGAGATGTGATAAAGGAATTTGTGAGCCAGGGGTTGCACAGAGACCGCAGGAAGGTGTGACTGCCAGGGAGCGATTTTGTTTATGGTGTTCTTGAGGACTCTTCTTGCTTTTTTTCTTCTTTGGGGAATTACTTATCAGCTACTGTTTCATAATTGAAAGCAACTATCCATGACACTTTTATCGCGGGAGCTGTCTTTAAGAAGAATTCCAACATATGGGCGGAAAAAAAGCACAACCACAAAAGCAATACTGATCTTACATCTGTAATAAGATCCACAATAGGTTGTGAGAGCTGCATAGTTGCCATATCCGTCTAAAGTAATGTAGATTTTACACTGCTCATGAAAATCACAGAGTACACTATTTTGATGAAAACAACTTCCTTTGGGGTTTAAAGGTTATGCAGGACTTCTGATTTTGAAACCAACTACGAGACTTACACAGGTCTCAGTGACCGCAGGACATATAGCGATTTGTAGCCTCCTCTTATTTCCGAGCTTCTTCATAGACACTGCTCTTGGCACCGCACCATTTTCTCTATAACACAACGACTATTCCTGTTCGGTTACGGGGCACTTGTCAACCAGACGTGCTCTCGCTGCGAGGGTCCAGGGGTATTTTCACGAGGCATCTACCAGTCCAGTAGTTGAAGGGAGAAGGTAAAGGAGGAGGGATCAGAGAAGGGAGCTGGAAAAAGGAGGAAGGAGAAGAGAGACTTTACACTTGACAAGTCCCTGGGACGGTCCTGGCTAATGCCGTTTGGACTCCAGCAATTTCGGCACCGAGCTCATTTTTAAATTGCCTAAGTCACCAAACCCGCTGAAAACATGTACACAAGGGTTATTTAACATCGTGATTACAATTATGACACTCATTCTTGGCGCTGGCGCCAAGAGATGACACTACGATTACCTCCTGGGCTCAGCCTTAGCAGAGCGCAGGTAATCGTAGTGTCATCCATTAGCGCCAGCGGCAAGAGTGAATGTCATATTCGTAATCAGGATGTTAAACTACCCCTACATACAAGTTTTTAGCGGATTTGGTGACTTAGGCAATTTAACACGTTGACGACAACGCGCGTTTTTACTTTTTGGCCGCGTGGGACACGCGCGCTTTCTTGAACGCCACAAGCGCGGTACGCATACAATTCAAGCCGTCCCACGAAGCGCTTTTTTGGAGATTGGATCGAAAAACCTGGTTTAGAGAGCAATTGTGAAGTAAGTCAATTATTTACTATGGAAAAATCTGGGCTGGCCAACTCTCTTTGCACCAGGGCCAGGAATTTGTCTGTAACCGAATTTTTTCATAAAAAAACGCAAATCGTGCTTTCTGTCGCAGAATCCTTCACCTTATATTTTTTCATCATTATCAGTGTTGTATACTCCTCATCATTACGGACTGTCGGGGCGGGTCAGTGCGGCTGCGTTTTCCGCGGTTCCAAAGTCTTTCTGCACCAGTTGTTGAAGCGATCAAATGACATAACAGCATTATATCCTTCGTATTACTCGTTTTCTACCACTTTTTGTCGCATACGCGTTTCAACGAAAAGGCTGAGAACGGCTTCAAACAGTGTGCGCACTCCTACTGGCTGATACGCCCCGACAGTCCGTAATGATGAGGAGTGTAATTGTCTGTATTTGTTGGGAACGAGTTAAACAGCAAACCATTCCAAAGTTGAGGAGCAAACCAATTCAAGCTTATAGTGCTCTTTCCACAGGAAATCTTTGCTAAACTAGTGTGTACTAAATTATTCCATGGACCACGTGTTGTACGAGTATACTAAGGACTGGCCTATAGAATGAATAGGAGAAACTAAACAAAAAATCATGCACTAGGGAAAGATATGGATTTGTTGATCGTGATTCGTATACAATTCGCGCGTCCCACGTGGCCCACAATGCGCGCATTAAATGTGTATCACGCTGTCGTCAATGTGTTAAAAATGAGCCGAAATTGCCGGAGTCCAAACGGCATTAGCCGACGGTCCATCGGTGGCCCACATCTCAAATCAGTACTAATCGATGCAAACTACGCTGCCGCAATTCGGTATTGGTAAGGATAAATGGAGATTGAGTGTTTCCTTTTAACACTCTACAAGAGCAACTCTAATACAAATTGTTCAAATAGAAACATAAAAAGAAAATAGTGAAGTTTTTCGGGGCAGTTTGGTGGCGGCTGAAGGAGGGGGGGGGGGCATTTTGCACTTTTGCTGCTTCACTAGTTCCGTTTACAAGTCTCACTCTGGTGAAACCTGTGAACTCTTGTAAACTGGAGCAAACTCGTCGAGCCATCATGGTAAAACCTGTCAACACTTGTAAACTCTCTGGAAGGATCGACAGTCGATGGGATGTCGCAAAAGTAAAAATACCCCACTTTCATGCATGTACGATTTCACAGAAGATTGAACCAGCCTGAAATTGAAGCAAAATATCCTGTCAGGTTATTCTTGTAGTTAGAGCTTCACCCCATATCTGTGACATCTTTTTTCGAGAGCCATGAAAACGCCCCTCACTTTAACCGCTGAACCATGAACCTTCATTGAGTGCAGATGTGGACAGCTTGATAAGAAACCCGGCTGCGCCACCCCTAGATTTGCATGAAGGCGGCTTTACGGTTTGAAAAAAACCGCATCTCAAGAGCGTCTGGAAGAATTCTTCCTCACTATTACCCTTGGGAGGTACCACCCTTGTAAGCGCTTATCAGCATACCAAATCCTGTAAACTGTAAAGGTGAATACCGGAATGCCTTGCCAACACCCTGTAAACTCGTTAACCTGTCAAAGTAACTGGTCAAGGTTTAGAGGAAAATGGAGGGAGAGCAAGTGGGGCACCCTCTCAACCGAGATTATTAGCGCCAGAAACATCTGTTTCACTTTATGACGCTTTCAGCAGCTTTGCATGGAAAAGAAGTAAATAAGCAGCAGTCATCTAGAAAAACCAACTTTTTGGAGATTTTCGGAGTGCTGCATTCGCCAGTCCGTAACTCTTCCTTTACTGTCACGGCCGACCTGAATGCAGTTCCTTGACTATGGTTCCTTGCAGAGGAAGAATAGCTTTATGTGCATGACTAAGAATTATGTCGCGGAAAAGAAGTGGAAAATATTTTTGAATTACATTCCAGCACTAGAAGCGGTCGAACTTTCATGTGCCTGAGCAGCGGGAAGGTTGGTTGGAGTAGATTCCACTTCAAGAGTTTTCTTTGGAGAGGGCCTGAAAGAGAAAGCAGTTCTCCCTCTGCTATTCCACTCTTGAGCCTTTTCTGTAAGTGTTGATAAAAATGAATGACTCACACTAATGGGTACTCGTCTTTGGGCGTAACTTTCTTACTCTGTAACTTAAGGAAGTAAAAAGGCTGATCAGGTCTCTTCACCTTTTCTAAATCATGCAAACATTGTCCAGAAGAATTAAAACTTTTACAGCTGGCAAAATGAACACATGACATTGTCAGGAGCTATTAAACGTACTTTCTTTGCCAGTGGACTCGTCCGATGGCGATGACTGAGACGTTGACACAGCTGGAGGAGATTGCTCAAAATAGTTAATGATGAGCAGCTTCACGACTGAATTCATACTTCGCGACGGGAGAATATAAGAATAGGAGAATCGTCAACTTGGCGTTCCAGGGGACTGTGCTGCATCGCAAAACGTCGAATCACTAACGGCCGAGGAAGGTCCATAATTATCCACTCCTCCAGTGTGCGTTATTCCAAAACGTCAAGTCCTCGATTCTCCTATTCTCCAACGTCGCCAATCGATATCTATACTTCCACTATGCGCGTATTCGTCCAAAACGTCGAACTGGCGACTTTTACGTCGGAAGTTATGAACGCAGCCTGTCCATGTGCACAAAGAATTATCACGCGAGTCAGCTCGGAGGATGAATTTACGCAGCGACGACAAAACTGCTCCTCTGGCTTTCTCACAGAAGTAATGGTCCCTTCTCACAACATCCATATTCCTTTAGGGTTGCAGATAACAAGCGCGAACGAGAGTAACGAATACCTGGCGCCGACGCAAAATGTTGGCAAATTGCCCCTGCCAGGGAGTAGGAATCAATAGCGCCATCCCCCACAAGTGCTTTCGCACCAGCTTATTAAAAAATTTTCCACTTACATGCATATCACTGACGACCCCATGTTCACTACTGACTTCCATTGACGACTCGCCGATTCTCTTCAAAAAGTGCAATCAAAACATTCAACACATCACGACAATTAGGTTGAATCTATAAAATAACCTCTAAGTCTGCAACCTGCATCATGAAGAAACTGTCTTCATCAGTACTGGATTCACAAATATTCTGGTCTTGATTACCGTTGCCTAAAATGATTAGATAGGAGTGGTGAATGGAACAAAGCACACAACCTTAGCAATTGTGGAAAAAAAGAGAAGCAAACATGAATTTTTGAAGTGCTTCAGTTATTCCAGGGAAAACGGGCGTATGCTCGAAAAACGAAAAAAATCAATCATGTGGACTCACCTGGATTTTTTAAATTATACTCGCAGTTCGTGAGGCCTACAAGTTGCACGATAGCAAATGAAACTCAATCGAAGGGTACCAAGGCGAGGTGGGTTCACAGCCGGAGGCACGGAGGAGGTGGATGAAATGATGATGCCAGTGCAGCGACAAGTTCTGCCTCTTGAGGAACAATTTTGCAAAATGCACCCCTCTCAACATACCTCTGGTACGGCCGACCCCTTTTCCCCAGACATCCTGTCATTTTCCAAGATTCCTAAAGTTTCCAACATCCTACCACTTTTCGCGGTTTTTTTCCAAATTTCAATATTTCTCCAGTTTTCCTTCAAAAAACCACCTTCGAGCGACGAGGGGGGGGGGGGTTCGACGGTGCACGTGAAGGCGGAGAAACCTCGAAAAGAGTCAACACATGAAAACGTTCTTGTAAAATATGATCCCTCTCGCTGGGATACCTAACTGCGAGCTGCCTTTGTCAGAACTAGAGCGTCAGAGGGTCTTGTACCCCTCCCACTTCGATACGAACTTTCTCTAAGCATCTCAAAACGTAAAACGTAAAACCTAGAAACCTACCTAAGTAAATTTTCTAAAGTTTTTACCGTCAAGGTGCGGCGGGGTGGAGCCCCCTGCTAACCACAGGGAGCACTAGTTATGCCACACCCCCTCACAGAGGAAGAAGTGGTGGGGGTATATTGCGCGCGTCAAAAGGAGGAAATCAATTGGAAAAATTCTCTTGACCTCATATATGACCCCGTGATGGGTTTCACACTAAGCTTCTGTACGCCTAAAGAGCTTCAATTACGACAGTAACGACAGTTGCTCTTGCCAAAAGCTAACAACACCTGCGGACAAAATCCTGTGAAGATCGTTGCTACTGTGGAAGAAAAAGAATAAGGATTTTAAAGAGGAGGGGAAATGTGTCATTTCTAGTCCCAGAAATCGCAAGACTACTGAAGAGCCTTCCGTGGTCGACACACCAGCGTTTCCTCAGCGCTTGACCCCGTTACTGACTCGTAACCCAAAAAAGCAGTATCGATGTGATGAGATCTCATTTGATTTAATACGATGCAAACCATCGACATAGAAGAAGTAGATGAGGTCACCTGGAGCGAGGCATATGGGTGATGTTTTGGGGCGCAGTTCGGCGACGGGAGGGACATTTTGCACTTTCGCGGCTTCACTAGTTCCGGTTTACAAGTCTCACTCTGGTGAAACCTGTGAACTCTTGTAAAGAAGGATAAAAATCATAAATGTGCAGAATTACCCTTCCCCCGTCGCCCAGCTGATTTGGCTGAGTGTACGTACAGGACACAGCGCTTTTTTAAAATTCTGCACATTCAGTAGTCTTATCCTTCTTTACAAGAGTTCACAGGTTTCACCAGAGTGAGACTTGTAAACCGGAACTAGTGAAGCCGCGAAAATGCAAAATGACCCTCCCGTCGCCGATCTGCGCCCCAAAACATCATCCCTATGCCTCGTACGGAGCTCCATCAGGTTCGCGGTTATCAGGTCATACCGTGTCAACGATTGGAAAAGCCTCAAAGCCTCCTGGTTTTTGTCTTTTTGTCTATAAACAGGATGCAAAGGGAATGCAAGAACACAGCGTATGATTGCAAACAAAGAACTGTTTTCAATCAAAATGTCGGAAGGCGAACAATTTCCAGGATAAAAGGCAGCGCTGGTGGATCTGATTCAGTCATTCGATTCATATCACCTCATGATGTTGTAAATAGGCGAAGGTGGTGTAACCACAAGTGGCACGCTTACCACTGGTACGGTCCGGCTGTCCGATCCCTGACCAGCTTCCGCCCTGGCTAACCAAGCTTTCTACCTCCGGGTACGGTAAACTGCGTCCAGTTTCGTCTGAAAACACTTAAACTTTTAATTTAAATTTCTTTTTTCAATTTTAGGGCGCTACATGTCCTTCCTTGTTGTTGGCGGGGTGTTTACCGTTCTTGCACGGATACTTCTTCCTCCCTCGGCGGAAGTTATTTTTATGAAGTTCGTGACAAGGATAGTACCAAAATAGGAGTGGAGTCACACACAGTACAAATCGCCCTCGAGGCAATGTTTCATCTCGAACCGACGTTCTCACACCTACCCAAGCCTTCCCGGTGGGAGACAGTATGGTAGAATCGAAACACACACTCGAACAATAAATTTACACTTTTTGCTGCGGATGAAGGGGCGTGTGACAAGGAAAATGAGTTCGCCGCGGCACCAAACCCGTTCTCTGCCGGTTGTTGAAGGGTATGCTACAGCAATTGGTAGAAAACGAGTGACGGACTGGATTGCAGTAGAGGTAAGCAGATCCAAACATTTGGTCACCAAATCTGTTCTCATTTCAGATGACTGAAAAAGATATCGAAGGATAATAACAAAGGTCCAAAAATATATTGCTCAATTATCGAAGTACCAAGCCTTCCTTTATGCTCCACAATGGAAGGATATTAGTAAGAAACGAGGGGATAACAACGAGGGTTCGAGCATCAACTGGTCGCAAAAAAGCGCCGTGTAGACAGAATGCACTGCACATTCGAATACCTCCACTGCCCGCTACACTTCTGCGTTACAGCCGGTTGTGTCGGTTGTAAACCCTTCTTCGAAATTAGCCAGAGCCTTGCGCAAAGCATACAGTGAGTGTGCACATCTCACAGTCTTCAGTTACTGAGCGGATGAAATTGCTTTAGAGCTATGACTATGACGGGAATCATGATTTTAAAAAGATCGTGGAAATGACAATGAATGCTTTAGGGCTCAGCTCAAAATAAAAGAGCATTTTGTATCTAAACTAGAAAGCCAACCCTGGTCTCAATGAGGGCAAGACCTCTCCGATCAGGCCCATCTTGTCCACCTCGCCCGACATCTTGGCTTGCTCCGTGACTGAAGTTGTCATTTGGAAAATGGCCAATTCATGATCGCAGCAGAGTTACACTCTAGTTCGCTGCGGACGGTTGGGCGTGTCAGGCAGTATGAGTGTGTCACCCGTCAAAGCCGTTCTCTGCCTTCTTGTTGAAAGCGCATGCGACAAAAAGTGGTAGAAAACGAGTAATACGAACGATATGATACAGTCATATCATTTGCTCGCTTTAACAACTGGTGAACGGGTTTGGCACCGCGCCAAACTCATCCCGCCTGACACGCCCAACCGTCTGCAGCTAACTACACTATAGATCTAGAGGCTGCCGATTAATCTGTTCATCGTTGTCGCTGGTTTCTTTCATGAGGCAATGACTAAGAGGCGAACTAGCCAGCAGAAGGCCACGCTACTGCTAGCTATTGAACAAGGGGCACTCGGGCCGAGGGGGGTTATGCTGTAAACTCTTTCAAAGCTAGAAATCGTTGCAAGCTTCATTACCAAACAACTTTTCCCCCAGGAGCACCTTGCCCACAGGGCTTTGACAAAAATCCCCACGCCTAGTTCCGTGCATTCCTGCATTAGTTGACGTTTAACATGAAAAATAACGAGAAGTGTTGGAGGTCACAGAATCCCCCACTCTCCGAGGGTGCGCTCACACTCTGTGGCAGCGTTCTGACCGTTTTCAGCCTTTGAGCGACGGGAAAGTTAGGTATCGACCCAGCGTTTCGAGCGTCCGCCAGTGTTTTCAGCGATGATCGATACCTATATTTTCTTAGTCGCTCAAAAAGCTCAATAGGTGGACGAGATCGATAACAATTCTTCTCTAATCGCTGAAAACGCTGTAAACGCTCAAAATGTTGACGCATCCAAGTCGCCGAGTCGATACCTATTAAATCGTGGTCGCTCAAAACGCTGACGCAAACTATGGACGCACTCTAAGTCAAACTGCATCACAAAAAATTCAGAAGCAAATCAAAAACCAGTACACTGTGCCAAGTTTTGCGTTCTATTCCATGGAAGATCGCGTTCGTCACCGAGCATACGGAAAACCGTGCCTGGTCTAAAATAAAGAGAAACACCTTTAACGTGGAAAACGTTCACTAGTGGTTGGATAAGCGCTCAAATTCTCGATGAACTACTAGCCTGCTCGACGTATGCCTCTTATTTTCCAAAATTAAATCTCTTCGACGGTTGTTGTAGGGGGACCAGCGGTGGTTATCTCGTGCCATATAAATCCTACGATTATGACGGTGAAAAAGCCGATCCGGCTCTGGCTGCCATAACCTGTTATCGAACGACTGATAGCGCCAATGCTCGTAATCAGCGCGATACAGTGGCCCAGGCCAGTTTCTCATATAACGTGGACGTGGCCCTTTTGGGAAATCACGACGCTGAACGATAGAATTCAACAGAATAAAGCACACAGAATAGTTTTGTAATACATGGCCACTTACCCAGTAATAATCTTCAAAGTATGGTTCGCCCATGATGACAGCAGCATAAAAAAATCAATGCATTGCGCGGGGAGCGTCAGAAAGAACAACACAACAAATTTCCTGTAAGCATATGGAACGGTGGCTTCTCATCACACGATCTAACAACTCCCATGCGAAATCGGTCCGACATACTTCAGAACCCTAGCGTTCTGAGAGGCTTGGGAGAGACAGCAGGGTTCTGAGCGCAAAGGAAAGTACTAGGTTGGCGGGAAAGTTCTGTCATACTTTCTGAAAATAGGCTTCCTTTTATATGAAGTTGAAAAATATACAGCACTGTTATCACGGGGCTCGCCGCAGTTTTTCACCTCCTAAGGATGCCATCGCTTCACAGTGCAGGCCGGTACGGCACAAAGTTGATCATCATTTGATTTGACCTGGCTTGGGTCATGAGGCTCTTCTCGTCCATATAACGGCTAAGTATGGAAGGCATTTAGAAGATGAAAGGAGCTGTGTTTGGGCTACACCCGTGAAGGGAGAGCCATTCCCCCTGTTGCATGAGGATCGGCTCGACCTTCTTTAGAGGTTGTGGGTTCCACTGTCCTCGGTGATTCCTCTCGGACCTCGTAACTACTTTGTGTAAGAACTGACAGTGAAAGCGGCTTCTTCATCCAGTAGGTCCACAAGCCGCAGCTCCCTCAAGCTGAGTTCATACCGCCCAAACACTTCGTCATCAAAACTGTAGGTTCCCTCGTTGAAGCCTTAATGCCATGGGAAGGGTAAAGGATCAAGTTTTCGCCGTTGACCGACCCTTTCTGGGATGCGGGACGCATTCTACTACCATTCAGGATCCTAGTGGCTTATTGGATGGGATGATGCCTATACAATGAAGTGGTTACGTAACAACTAAAACTTTTGATGGCGGTCCTGCTGCGAAACGCCAGAGCGCAGAGCAATAAAGAACTGCAGCCGCCAAGGCATGGACAGGTTCAAAAAACTTGTCGCGAGCCAAGACATGATTTTTCCAGAGGGAAGGGCACTGGGGTGGGTGAGCCACCTATTATGCTTGAAAAGTTTGAATATGGAGGAACAATGCGGTCACAAAACGCCATGCAGACGTGAGGGCGCAGAGAAAAACAGAAAGTTGGCGCCATTAAAGGGATTGAGTTTTAGTTGTCCGCAGACCCAATGTATTGGGGGAGGGGCCAGCCGATGTACAAGACAGTGTTCTTATCCTCCCAGACGA